TTGGCCAGAGTGGCCACCAGGGAAACCTGGGGAGGGCTAGCCTCCCACTAGTTCGAATTAAGGGGCTACACAGCCCTTAATTCGAACTAGTAAATTCGAACTAGGCTTAATCCTTGTGGAATGAGAATTACCTAGTTCGAACTAAGAGCTCCGTTAGTTCGAATTAAATTCGAACTAACGGAGCACTAGTGTAGCGCCTATGAAAGTTAGTTCGAACTAACGTCTGTTAGTTCGAACTAACTTTGTAGCATAGACATACCCTTATTGAACATCAAAGGATCCACACAGAAATCCTTTGACTGCTCAGACCATGGTAAAAGCTTCAGGGAGCAATCAATTCTAGTTAGATATCAGAAAACTCACACAAGAAAAAAAACTGCTGTGAGTGCAGGAAAAATTACAGTAACAGGTCAGACCTTGTTAGACACAGGAGAATCCACACAAGATAGAAACCCTTCAGCTGCTCTTACTCTGGGAAAAGCTTCAGTGAGAGCGCACACTTTGTTAGACATAAAAGAATCCACACTGGGGAAAAACTCTTCTCCTGCTCTGACTGTGGGAAAAGCTTCAGTACGAGATCAAACTTAGACATGGGAGAATCCATACAGGAGAGAAACCCTTTTACGGCTGTGATTGTGGGAAAAGAAGGCTGAAGGAGGAGATGAATGCTCTCTTTAAATATACTAGAGGGATAAATACCAGGGAGGGAGAGGAATTATTTAAGCTTAATACCAATGTGAACACAAGAACAAATGGATATAAGCTGGCTAGTAGGAAGCTTAGACTTGAGATTAGATTAAGGTTTCTAACCATTAGAGGAGTGAGGTTCTGGAACGGCCTTCCAAGGGAAGTAGTGGGGACAAAAGATCTATCTGGCTTCAAGATTAAACTAGATGGCTATGTCTACATTGGTACCCTTTTCCGGAAATGCTTAAAATGGAACAGTTTTCCGTTATAAGTATTTCCGGAGAAAGCACGTCTACATTGGCCACGGACGCTTTTCCGGAAAAGCACTTTTCCCAGAAAAGCGTCCGTGGCCAATCTAGACGCGCTTTTCTGCAAAACAGCCCCGATCGTCATTTTCGCGATCGGGGCATTTTTGCGGAAAACACTACTGTGCTGTCTATACTGGTCCTTTTTCGGAACAGTTTTCTGGAAAAAGACTTTTGCCCGAACGGGAGCAGCATAGTTTTTCCGGAAAAGCACTGATGATTTTACATTAGATCGTCAGTGCTTTTCCAGAAATTCAAGCGGCCAGTGTAGACAGCTGGCAAGTTTTTCCGGATAAGCGGCTGATTTTCCGGAAAAACTTGCCAGTCTAGACAAAGCCAGTATGTGTTGAGGATCATCAAATGATCTTGTGCTGTATATGGGAAAAAGTAGTAATAATTTGAAAACCTGAATGACTGACTACAGACTGGGGCTGGGAAAGATGCGGCCTGGGAACTGGATCTGGCCCGCCTAACATTTTGATCCAGCCCACAGACTGCATCTGGCTGCTTTCTATTTATGTCCAGCTGCCTGTGCCGACATTTTTAGTTTCTGTCTGGTATCATGGAGGAAGCAGCCTAGGAAAGGGTCTGGGATTTAGGGGCCCAGTATCCCCCATCTCAAGGGGGGCTGAGGCATCCTAGGCCTGCCCTGTAACCAGATTACATCTATACTGTGTTTGTATCCTGGAGAAGCAATAAACTCCCTCTATTCTACTGGCTGGTGGAGTCTGTTCGTGCCACTATGGGGGTGCAGGAGGCGAGGGAACTCCGATGCGCCGCTACCCTTAGCTCCTCCAATTCAGCCACCTTGCTCTCCAAAGGCTGTACATACATGAAGGGCCAAAATCTCCTTACACCAAATGCACACATACACCACCTTTCTGCAGAGCACATAATCATACGTTAATCTTAGGGGGTGCTTGACTCCCACTCTAACTTAGGCTCTACCCCCGACTCCATATGTTTCCCCAAATACCCACCTAGACCTGCCTCTTCTCATCCCCATTTTGCCTCTTTCCTCTAGCACGTCCTTAATATCACTGAACAGTTGATCCACAGGAAATAGGAAGCTCTGGTTGGGGTGAGATGCTGATCTGTGGGGCCCAATAGTGCACAGGGGAGGAGGGGCAGGAGCTGATTCATGGGGCTGCTGGTTGGTGCCACAATTTTTTTCTATGGATGTGGTAGCCCCATGACAGAATCTATGTCACTACGCAGTGGATGCAGAATCACACTGCAAAGGCCTAGATCTAGAAAGCATATTAAACAATTCTGTAACTGTTTGCAGCACAGGTTCTATAGTAAAAGACCTGAGGATTACAATGGATGAGCAGCTGGATATGAGTCAACAGTGTGCCTTTGTAGCCAAGAAGGCGAAGGGTAAATTAGGTTTAATTAGGAGCAGCATTGCCAGCAGATCTAGAGAAGTGATTATTCCCCTTAATTTGGCACAGCTGAGGCCACATCTGGAGTGTTACATCCAATTCTGGATCCCACATTACAAAAAAGATGTGGATGCATTGGAGAAAATCAAAATGATAAGGGGGTTGGAGTATATGCCTTACAAGGAGGCTGTGTCTAGACTGGCTACTTTTTCCAGAAAAGCAGCTGCTTTTCCAGAAAAACTTGCCAGCTGTCTACACTGGCCACTTGAATTTCCGGAAAAGCACTGACGATCTCATGTAAGATCGTCAGTGATTTTCCGGAAATACTATGCTGCTCCCGTTTGGGCAAAAGTCTTTTTCCGAAAGACTTTTGCGCAAAAGGGCCAGTGTAGACAGCACAGTACTGATTTCCGCAAAAAAGCCACGATCGCGAAAATGGCGATCGGGGCTTTTTGCGGGAAAAGGTATCTAGATTGGCCACGGACACTCTTCCAGAAAAAGTACTTTTCCGGAAACGCGTCCTGCCAATCTAGACGTGCTTTTCCGAAAACGCTTTTAACAGAAAACTTTTGTACAGCTTCCCGCCCTTTGTGGGAGGTATAGGGACAGCGTCTGTCGAAGCAAACGCCTCACTCAGTTTACGCGGCTAAACAGACAGTTTTATTGGCCAATAAAAGCAAAGTGAGCCAAACGTGGTCTTAGCAAAGCCGGGTCCAGTAAGACTGGCTAATACAATTAATCCTAGTATTTTATACCCTTAACCAAACAAGTCTGACGTCAGGGCAAGAAATTAAAGAGAACTTTAAAGAGGAATTATTATCAGCATAGAAAGAAACAGGTTAAAAGGGAGTTCGAGCTTCAGCTCAAAATAGTTAATCAGTAGATTACTTGAAAGATTTACTTTTAACTTCTTAACTTATCTTCAGCATTGAGAATACCCTCCATTTTGCTTCTAATTGCACCAGGGATGAAAATGATCAAATGATCTGGAGCTTATTGGCATGGGACAGCGTCTAAAAAGTCATTTATCAGAGGGGTAGCCGTGTTAGTCTGAATCTGCAAAAGCAGTGAGGAGTCCTGTGGCACCTTACAGACTAACTGAAGTATTGGAGCATAAGCTTTCGTGGGCAAAGACCCACTTTGTCAGATGCATCTGGCACCCATAATGAATATTCATAAAATACCCAAAGATTTCTTCCAATTAAAGGTGGTACCTTCAGAAATCTTGGGTGTTAGGCCAAGTTATGGAAAAGGGGTGGTATATCTGTAATGCTTTCATGCCCAAAAGCAGTATTTAGGCCTAGTGATTAGAGAGATTGGGGCTGCAATCTGACGCCTAGTGGAGAGAGAGCAGTCCGTCCCGGATTCTATGAGTATAAGGTCAGAGAAAACTTAGGACATAAGAACATAAGAATAGCCGTACTGAGTCAAACCAAAGGTCCATCTAGCCCAGTAGCCTGTCTGCCGATAGTGGCCAGCACCAGGGGCCCCAGAGAGGGTGGACCGAAGACAATGACAGTGACGGGCTTCTGGGACACGGGGGCGGAGGGGCCTCTGGCCC